GCCGGGGCGGCTCCGCGGGCTCGGTCCGGACGTCCGTCTGAGGCCCGCCCGCGGGTCCGGTGGATTCGATCTCAGGGACCGCGCAAAATCCCGTGCGAGGAGACTGTGCCTCCGGCTTCTGGGGCGGGTGGCAAGTGGCCCATTGTGTGTGGTCACGCTGTGTCCGTCCACGAGCCCACGCTTGCGGGGGGTGGTTCTTAAATTCTGGCCCCAAGGGAGCGAGTCCTGGGCCGGGCTGCCTAGCGCGCCCGCGCCTCCTGCTCTGCAGTTGCGGGGCGAAGCCGGAGTCCGCACCCACGCGTGTCGCGGGCTTGGGTGGCAGGCCGCGGGCCAGGGGCGGCGGCCGAGCAGTGGGGCCTTCTCTCTGCACCCAGAAGTTGGGATTTAAAGAAAACGGGACTAATCTGTGAAGTCGGGGGGGGGGGCGGGGGGGCGGGGTTAGAGTTCAAGCCGGGCTTGACATCCGCCTGCTTGACATCCGCCTGGGCCCGCGCTCTCATCTGCGGAGGCAGGTTCCCTGTCAAGGCGCTGATACCCAGCAGGGGTTTGGGGGGGCCGTCTGCCACCCCCAGGCTGCTATTTCCCATGATGACGATGCTCCTACTTGCAGATTCAAGTGCCTCTTCCAGGGGCGTCTGATATACAAGTTTAGTTTCTGTGTGAGGAAGTGTATGATGTATCAAGTCAAATGGTGGGTCAAAAATCATCCATTTTTGTGAGGAGAAACTTGTATCAGGAAGGACGTAGCCCAAAATGTTGAGCAGAGTTTTCTTTTTCTAAATTTTCCACAACAAAAATGTTGCTTTTGTATTAAGAAATGAGTTCAAATGACAGATGCTTTTTTACCTTGGCTTTTGAAACCAGAAATTATAAAAAGGGTCTTAAAGGAAGTTCTCCAGATGAAGCAGCAGCCATGGGCAAACTTGTCCCTGGAGGAAATTGGCCCAGCATTGGGTGCTTAATAGTAGGAAGAGGAGTGCTCGGCACCACGGGAAGTAGTGGCCAGGGCCCCCGCAGGACAGCAAGACCCCACCCAGCCCTGCCCACAGGTGTGCCTGGCCTGGGGCCTTGCTTCCAGGTGACCCACATCTCCGGCAGAGCAGGAAGCCCCAGAGGGTGTCCTTTTATCTCTCTAAGGACCCGCCTTTATCTTTCTTCAAGGACACCTTTCTACCTGCCAAGGATCCACCTTGTTGGGGCCTGAACAGGAATGGCACGGTTTGCATACAGTAGAACAGGGCATTGCCTGATGGTCCCTAGGATGAAAAGCTTGGCTGAGAAAACTCAAGGGCCAGCACACCATCCTGTGACACTCTGCTCAGACCCTTTGCTTTACAAAGGGTGCAGCCTGGCCACACAGCCAGCATGGATAATGGGCTGGGGGCGCAGGTGTGTGCCCAGCGTCCTGGGGAGGAAAGGCAGCCAGAACGGGACACATAGGCTGGCCGGGGGTCTCTGGGCTGTGGAGCTGCGGTGGTGGGTGCCTTGTATTGTAGCAAGGAGAGGACATGCCGCCGTCACTGAGCCTGACCACAGGCCATGTGGGCAGACGCTAAAGAGACCCTGTAGAGGAAGCTGTGAGATGGACCCTTCAGACAGCTCAGGGCGTCTACACTGGTGGATGGTTTTTCACCATGTTGAGTCTTAAAGACATGCACCCCCTGCCTGCCTCACTCAGTGTGGGAGACCTCAGGGTCTCCCACCCTAAAGGCCCCATCCTGCGGGGAGAACTGCTGGCCACCCGCAGGTGCTCTTCTCCAGCGGTCCCCATCCTTTGTGGCACCAGGGACCAGTGCTCCTCTGAGAACCTAAGGCCTGACGGTCTGAGGCGGAGCTGAGGCGGCGATGCCGGCGCTGGGGGGGCGGCTGCAGACACAGAGGAAGCTTCGCTGCTCGCCCGCCACTCACCTCCTGCTGGGCGGCCCGGTTCCTGACAGGCCACGGCCCAGCAACAGTCCGCGGCCCGGGGGTTGGGGACCCCAGGTCTTTGCAGCATCACCTGAAGTGCAGCCGTTGGGAAAAAAACATAAATGGCCTAAAAAAGGGAAGGGTTGATTCAAGCGTGTGGAAGACTGGGCGCTCCTCCTGGGGTAGTACGCAGGGTTCCGAGGCGCTCGGTGCGGCCACGCCAACACGTCACCTGAGTGCTGTCCTCTCAGGCGCAGTGATGAGTGACAAGAGCAGGGAAGCTGGACACAGTAAGAAAATGGCTGGAGCCCGCAGAGGAGCGAAGCCGGAGGGCAGGCCCACAGCCCCGCGGCTGCGGTGGGAGCGCCCTGACCTGACCCCAGAACACCCCCTTCCTCAGCGACAGCGTTCAGTGCCACGTGGTGCTGGCTTGGAGAGCGGGCACTGTGGACACGGGCTGGCTGGCTGGGGCTGCCCTGTGCACTGCAGGGTGCTGAACAGCATCCCTGGCCTCCACCCACTAGGTGCCAGTGGTGACAAGCCAGGAATGTCTGGACACTGCCCCACATCCCTTAGGAGGCAGACCTGACCCTGCCAGCTCTATTAGAGGGTACGCTTCCGGCAGCAGCGGTTAGGGCCACCCGGGCTGTGAGGTCCCTTCAGGGACCCGTGCAGCCTGCGAGGGTCACGTGCAGCGTCGGCTGGGTAGTAACGTGAGACCTGCCCTTGGCAGCAACTGAAGCAGCAGCGGGACAAGCTGAAGCAGTACCAGAAGAGGGTCACGCAGCAGCTGGAGCGGGAGCGCGAGATCGCCCGGCAGCTCCTGCGGGACGGCAGGAAGGAGTGAGTGCAGGGCCAGCGGGGCGCGAGGGCGGCTTCGGGCCGGGGGCGCCCAGCACGTTGGTGCGGGCCCAGGAGCGGGGGCGCAGGGTCGCCGGTCACTGCTCACCGTCCGGTTCCCTCTGCAGACGGGCCAAGCTGCTGCTCAAGAAGAAGCGGTACCGGGAGCAGCTCCTGGACAGGACGGAGAGCCAGATCAGCAGCCTGGAGGCGATGGTGGGCTGGGCGGGCCGCCGCTGCCAGGGAACCCCTTGGGGACCGGCCCGTCCCTTCCCTTTTTGGAGCTCAGCCAGGGGCTGGGGCGGGAGTCAGGCCTGCAGGTGGAGACTCTGATAGGCACCTGGCAGCCTTAAGGGGCTGGGGGCAGGTCGGCTCTTGCAGGACCGTGGTTGGGGGGCTGGGGCGTTTCTAGATGGCACAGGGAGGCCGGGATCTGCCCCAGTGACCAAGGGTGTCGGCAGGAGGCTCCTGGGGCGTCCCTGGCGTTAGGCCCCGAGCAGCGTGTCCCACCCCTGGCTAACCACAGCCGCCAATGAGCGATCGGCCGTCCTTCGGTTCCCTCCCGGCCCCGTCAGTCCGGCCGTGGCCCCAGTGGCGATGGCAACAGGAAAGGACAAGATGGGGGAGGAGGGCACAGGACCGTCTGCCCGAGGGGAGCACGTCCTCAGTGGGGTTGTCATCCTGGCCCCGCCGGGTCTGGGGATGCGGCGGCAGCGGCCTGAGCACACGCGTCTGGCCGTCCTCAGGTCCAGAGCATCGAGTTCACCCAGATTGAAATGAAGGTGATCGAAGGGCTGCGGTTCGGAAACGAGTGTTTGAACAAGATGCACCAGGTGGGTCCTCCGGGGCCGGGCCCAGGGGAGGGGCCAGTGGCGCATGGAGGCCTTGCCCCACACAGTGCCCCCAAGGTCACGCCTGCACCCCTGCCCTCGGCCAAGAGGTGTTTGTGTCAGATGGGAGGTGGGGAAGCAGCCACTGCTAGGGGAGGGCAGCAGGGGAGCGGGACAGGCTTGGATGTGGACCCGGGAACGGGGTGACAGGCACATGCCCGGGGGGGACTCCAGCCAGGGCGGGGGAGGGGTGGGGCTCCGTCGGAGGGCTTCCCGGAGGAGGTGGCTGGTGAAAGGAGACAGGCCCAGAGAGGCCGCGCCGCAGCCCCCGCCCCTCGCCCGGCTTCTGCTTTTCCGGGTGGCGAGTGTGGCAGTGTGCCTGCCAGTCAGGCGAAGGTGCAGCTTTGAACTTGCCACTGAGAAGAAATCAACTCACCCGCCCAGCGAAAACTTTTTATGCTTTTTACTTATTTTTACCTGGAACTGCTGGGGTTGGTGTGGGTGCCAGGGGGTCAGGTGAGAAGGGCCAGCGGGGGGCCGAGTGTAGCTGAGGCTTCCGGAAAGACTACTGTGCCATGGGCACCGCCCCCAGAACGGAAGTGACCAGAGACGGCGCATGTCCTGCCTGGCCTGGCTTTGTTTAAACAGGAACGGGGCGAGGCCTCGTGCCCTGACAACCCAGGTGGCCTTAATGCTGGGGGTTCTGGTGCTCGCTCCACCGACAAGACTCAGACGCTTCCCGGTCTTCTTAGGTGATGTCCATAGAGGAGGTGGAGCGGGTGCTGGACGAGACCCAGGAGGCTGTGGAGTACCAGCGGGTAGGTGTCGCCGTGTCTTTGGGGCCTGCATGTGCCACGCTAGCGAATGATGACAGCTGCCCTGGGGGTCATGCCTGCCATGCCATGCGCTGGCCACCTCGAGCCAGGGCTGTCTCTGTCCTCCACGAGGGGCTGCCTCCCCTCCCCACCGTCCCCACCGTCCCCACCGCCCCCACCCAGCCATGCACTTCAGCTCAGTTCGTCCACCGTCCCCACCGTCCCCACCGTCCCCACCGTCCCCACCTAGCCACGCACTTCAGCTCAGCTCGTTGTTTTGCAGCAAATAGATGAGCTGTTGGCAGGAAGCTTCACTCAGGAGGACGAAGATGCCATCCTAGAGGAGCTGAACGCGATCACTCAGGTATCAGGACCCGCGGGGCCGGGCCGGGCACGGAGGTGACGGGGCTGTCCGAGTGTCCTGCCCTCGATGGTCTTGGCCTCGGGTGAGCACCTGCGTCGGGCCTCACCTGAGCGCTCAGGCTGGTTTTGCTCAGTTATTCCCGGCGCAAACCGAGGCACGTTCTCTCCGTCCCCTGGCTGGCCGCAGGGGACACGGAAAGAATGGCCGAGGATCGTCCCCCAAGACTGTCACAGGTTGTTGGAGGGACCGGTAGCCAGGTGTGCCTGGACAGACTGGCCCCTTCCTCTCTCGCAGGCCGGAATGTGGTTTTTTGGTTTGGCGGGTTTTGTTTTCCGTGTTCTGGCCGGTCATTCTCTGAAATTCATTGGGCCTACGCACTAGAGTCCTATGTCGTAGGACCATCCCTAGAATCCTCTAACAGGCTGGACTGTCACGTCCAGGCCCTAAGGTCGGTGCTTGTCCCCTGACGAGGGAGCCTTCACCTCTGGACCACTGCCCCAGCATGCCATCCCGTCCCCTCCACCCCCACAGGCTGGCCGGGAGGGCAGGATCTTAGCACCGCTGCCCACGACCCAGGGGGCCCATGCGCGCCTGTCTGCTGATTTACCTCCTCGCCCAGGCCCAAGAGGCAGCGCCTCACTCCCTGGGACGGCCAGCCCCACCCCAGGCTGACCCATGTGCCACTGCCTTGGGACATTACAGCAGGGTCAGCGCTGTGGCCCCCGGCCTGCGTAGACGCCAGACCTGGGCACCCATGGCCCTGCCCGGCCCAGGCTCTGACCCGGGTCTCAGTGATGCCAGGGGCTGAGCAGGATTCACTGTGGGGCTTTGGAGCGGGAGGATCCTGTGTGTCCTAAGTCAGCCGAGGGCAGCTAGGTAAACAGCCCCTCCCCTGTCCGAGGGGACAGGTGGACCTAGCGGCTTGTGTCTCACGGCCTTTTCCCTGTTCTCGTAGGAACAAATCGAGCTCCCAGAGGTTCCTTCAGAGCCCCTGCCCGACAGGAAACCAGGTACACCCTTGCTCCGTCCTTCGGTGAACGGTGACTTCCCGCACAACTCAAAGCGCCCACTCCCCAGCCCGCTGGGCGAGGTGCTAGGCTCTGGCTCGGGCAGAGCACAGGGTGTCACCCGGGCTTGGGCCGGATGTCTGAGGGTTTGGGTCACCTTGGAGGAGCTGGACCCCATTGGGAGAGGCGTGTCCTGAATTGAGGAGTTGGGCAAAGGCCACGTTGGGTGGACGGCCTCTGTGGTCCAGCCCAGAACCAGCGTCTTCCTAAGCGTCCTGGCCCTGGGGTGACCGTCCCGTAGCATCACCTAACGCGCCTTTGGAGATTCTCCACCGGGCCCAGACACGTCTGTTACAGTTCCTCGTGGCTTCCTGCTCCCGCACTGCTCCTCGGAGCCCCCGTCCCACTGTCCGAGCCATGGGGAGAGCTGGTCCTACCCGTGGGCCCCGCCCGCTCCTAACACCTGTACCTTGTGCCTGCTCTGCTGGTGGCTTCTGTTTGTAACTTACCATCCCCAGGAGCTGTGCAAGCTCTTCCCAGAGTGCGAAGTCCTGGGACCTGGCCTCTTGCCATCTCTTGTTCTCTGGAAGTTTTTGCCTGTGGCATCTTCTCTACACAGCAAACATCTCTGTTTCCTCCACAGTGAAAGATCTTGTCCAGACCAGGCCCAAGCAGGCGGAACTGGTGGCAGCCTCCTAACTCGGCCTCGTCCCGGGGGACTGGCGGGACTCCCCGCGGCCTGGGGCCCACAGAGCCAGTGAGGCCGCCTTGACCCGGTTCCCGAAGGCAGGGCTGGTGCTGGCCGGGCAGCGGGGAGCAAGGCCCGCCATCGGGACGTCTCCGAGGAGCCTTCGTAGCTCTGCCTCTTGCTCTCGTTTCTGGATTAAATGGCGGCATTCTGATCCTCCGGCCAAACGCAGCTTCTGAGGCTGTGGCTCCCACGGGCCACGGCCGGGCCGACGCGCCTGGTGCTGGTCTCACTCCCTGGCCCTGGCCCCGCAGGCCACTCCTCTGAGAAGGCGCGTAGACCCAGCGCCCACCCTTCCCTCGCTCCCGCTGCTCCGGTGGTTGGCGGGGCTTCGGCTGAGAGCCCCCCTCCGCCCGGCCTCGCAGCACAGCCAGTCAGCCGTGGACTCGGGGCCGACCCCTCCCTGCGCTGCTTTCGGCTCAGGGCAGCGGGCCGGAGGGACACTGACGACGCCGGGCGCTCTGGCTGCCCTGTGGCCGTGGCCCTGCTAAGGAGGATGCGAGTGACAGCCAGCGCGTCCTGCCGGGCTCCCAGAGGTGCTGCCGGGACCTGCTTGTCCTCGGGACTGCCTGCGGCTGGGGCGCGGGGGCCTGCGGCAAGCCAGGACTGCCCACCCGCCCGCTCCCGGCTGTCAGCAGCCGAGCGGAGGCTGCGGGACAAGTGGCTTCCCTGGCTCATGGTTCGCTTTGGAATCAGTCTCGTGGGATTTCACTCCGCACAGGTCGGCCCTCATTAAAGTCGATCCCGCACGCTGCTGCCTCGTGGGCTGGGGTCCGTGGGGGGCACCAGGGCAGGTTAGATGTGGCTGCCCCCAGCGTCCCTTTACCCTCATAGGGCACGTGAGGCCACCTGTCTGGGCAGTGCCATGGGGCGGCTGGGGACTCGGGTACAGGTGGGGGTTCTCGATCTGCCCAGCCATGGGCAGAAGGCAGGCCATGGCTCCAGTGGGCTCTGGCGGTCACCTCTAGGTGGCTGTCTGCAGCAAGGTACAGCACGGTGCTCTGGCCCCACCTCCCTCAGAAGTGACATCGATAGCCTCTCCTTATTCTCGAGGTTCTGTGTGACTCCCGTGGCTGGTGGTCAGGCCTCAGACCCCTCTGGTGGGGGGCACTTCGGTTCCTTGGGGGCTGGTGTGGACTCCTGATGTCAAGGTGGGAAGCCAGGTGCCCCAGGGGGTGAGCAGGCAGCGGAGAGAAAGGGGCCATCGCCTGGGGGCCTCCGTGTGCGTGCGCCGTTTCTGGGCTCTTGGAAGGGAGCTGAAGCCTGGGTTTCAGGGTGGCCTTGCTGTGCGTGGAGGGGCCTGTGGCAAGTGCACTGCACGCCTCTGCCAGGAGGGGTCCCTGCTGCTGGCCTCGGGTTTTGGGGGAACCAGCGTCCGGTGTCACCAGTGCTCGGCCGGCTGCTGGGCCTCTCCTGCTTGTTTCTGGTAGCTGCTGCCATCGTGCCCAGGACACAGGGTGGCCCAGGAGCAGTTCTCACCTAGGAGGAGCCAGCCCTGCCTCTCCCACCCTGTGACCCTGACTTTCTACAGCCTGGATTCCAGACCAGGGAAGGGTACGGAGGGGACAGAGGGCCTGCTTCAGGGGAGGCGCAGGGTACGGCCACAGCTGCTCCAGACTCTCCTTCCCCCTGTCCCTGGATCTCGGACCCTCGGGCTGTCCTCACACACCTGTGCTCCCAGGCTCTGACCCCAAGGCTGGGCGCTGGGAGCACAGACCAACCTGCTCTGGGAGCCACCTGCAGCCTGCACAGCGCCAGCTCCCTCCTGACCGTGCTTGGGGCGCCCTCATCTCCTGGACCGACCCCAGAGGTGAGGGTCAGCTCGCCCTCACTGTCCAAGTCAGACCTCGGAAACCTGTCAACTTTTTCTAAGATCATTCTGAACGTCTTTTCACGTCCTTATCGGCCATTTTTCTGTCTTTGGAGAAATGTCTCTAAATCTTTTGCCTGTTTTTAAATTGGGTTAGCTGTCATTTTGCGACTGAGTCTTAAGAGCTCCTTATATGTTCTGGATAGTAGACTCTAATGAGGTGTAAGATTTGCAAAACTGTGCTCCCATTCTGTGGGCGCCCTTCACTGTGGCCGTGCCCTTCGAAGAACCAGCGTGTTTGATTTTGAAGAAGTCCAGTTTGTTTTTTCTTTCGTGGCCTGTGCTCTTGCTGTCTTATCTAAGGGACCATCACCTAATCCAGGGTCATGAAGATTTATTGCCAGGTTTTCTTTAAAAGTTTTATTCTTTTTGATGCTATTGTGAGTGGATTTTTTTCTCAGTTTCAACTTCTGGTTACTCATCGCACGTGTGTGGAAATACAGTTGATTTCTGCCCATGGAGCCCGTATCCTGCAGCCGCGACGAGCTTGCGTCAGTTCTGGTTTTTAGGGGAATCCTGAGGGTTCTCTGTTCGCAGCCCCGTGTGATGCACGAGTGCAGATAACACTCCTTCCTGTCCAACCTGGATGACGCCTTCCCTGTTGTCCCGGCCAGAACCTCCAGTACCGTGTGAATAGCAGTGGACACCTTTGCTTTGGGTGTCCTAGTCCACTCCCCTCCCCCCGAAACTACTACAAACGGGAAGAACGAAGTCCGTGCGGAGCGTGTCATGCAGAACCCCACCCTTTCCCTCCGTCCCCAGCCCCGCGCCCCGCCCCGTCTCCTCGCCTATCTTTTGGGCCGAGCAGGCCGGTTGATGGGCCACCTGACGCCCGGCCTCCCGCCCTCGGGCTGCACCTGCGCGTCTCCGTGGCATTCTGGTGGGCTCGGTCGTGAAACGTGAGCTTGGCGATGGCACGAGTGCGGGTGGATTCGCTGCCAGGTGACTAATCGTTCCCAAGTGGCTCGGCGGCGGGAGGCCGCTCTCGTGACCCGATGCAGAGGAGAGAGCAGGCCGCAGAGTGCGCACGCCACGGAGCCGCAGTGGGGATGACGGCCCAGCCTCAGGCAAAGCTGCTGCGATGACGTGCTGCAGCGTGCGTGAAGTCCCAGGACCGGAACGTGGGTTCAGAGAGAACCTTGTCTGGCGGCAACGTATTTAAAAAGGTGTGGGGACTTTGCCCGCAGACTCTGCGGGCGAGCTGTGGGCAGCGGCTGCCCAACCCTCGGGCGACCGCAGACTCGCTAGAACGTCCTCCAAACTGGGTGCGGCGGGCCCCTCATGAGCATTTTTGCAACGCTGTCCCTGAATCAGCCACTCAGGTTGGAATCATGTCCAGACTCTGCTGCTTAGGGAACCAGGGAGCACCAGGGACGGGGTGGCGGGGTGGGCGAGACCCGCGCGTCGGCCACGGTGTCCGGCCTGCCGGTGGAGGTGCCATGGGTCTTGTGTGTCGGTCCCCACGAAGGGTTAAGAGCCACATTTACAGACACCGTGCCCCCAAGTGCGGTGCTGTCGCCATACCGTCATACCCTGTGCTCTTGCTAACTCTACTGGTTTCCTAGGAAACGTCTTTTCATAAATAACATAAACACCCATCCCTGAGTCTGACCAGTTCCCAGTCAGCATCCAGCCTGAGTTTAGCTGGAGAGTCAACGAAGCCGTGAGGCCACGGCGTCTGCACAGGGGGACGCGCCGCTTCCTTATTCCAAGGGCTGCGGCCGAGGAGGGCCCTGCCCACCCTCAGAAGGGCCGCCAGGGGCCCACGTGGCACGGTGGGCACCGCTTGTCTGTCGCAGCCCCGGGGCTGGCGGGAGGGAGGGGGCCACATGCTGAACTCGGGCGTGTGCAACGTCCCCCATCCCGGCTCTGCGAAGCGGGCGGAGCGGGCGGCCGCGGGGCCGTTCAGGGCCACTCACACCCTCTGAGGCCTACATGGGGCAGGAGTCCCCGTGCCGTTTGCCCTTCCCCTCACCGCCAGGCCCAGGGGCCTGGGTGACCGGCCAGGGCAGCAGAGAGCTCAGACTGCGGAACTCCAGGGGCGCAGGGTCCCCGCGAGGAGAAAATGGACGAAGGGACCTGTGCTCTGAATGAGCAGCTCAGGGCTGGACTCACCTCCAAGTGACACGTGCGCAGGATGGACCCGCAGCAGCACAAAAGGCTTGGGACCCCGAACATCAGGGACCCCGTGACGGGAGCCGTAGCCACCGCAGGCGAGCAGCCTGCGAGGTCTGAACTGACCGGGCGGTGGGCCGCCGAGACAGAAAACAGCGCTCTCCAGCGGGTCGTGCCGACCCAGAGTCTACACAGCTAACGGCCAAAATGTTGGATTTGCAACCCCAAATTCCTCGGCGTACGAAGAACCGTGAAATGTGACCATTTTATCCAGGGAAAAGCTAAGCACCAGACGCCAATTCCAGGGTGAGCCGGTGGTGGGATTACGAGACAAAAACGTGCAGGCATTCGAAACTGCGTCGCACAGGTAAAAACACGCCCGAAACGACGGAAGGACGGGCCTTCTCAGCTGCGGAGCAGAAACTATTAAAGAGCAAAGTGGACATTTTATTACGCTGAAGAGTGTAACACTAGAAACTAAAAACGGACGCGGCAGCCTCGACGGGAAACGACGGGAAGAGCCAGTGAGCTCAACGAGGCAGACGTCATCCAACCGGGGACAGAGAGATAGCGAGCTGTCAGGGAACAGAGCCTCAGGGACCTGTGGGACGATATCCGAACGCCTGACACCGCGTTACCAGCATCCCAGGAGAGGAGATTAGAGCAGCAAAGAACACTTGAAGAAATGATGGCCGGAATGTCCCAGAGTTGGTGAAAGACACCGATTTACGATTCAAGAAGCTCAAGCTCCCCAAACAGGATGAAGGCAAAGAAAATCGTGCCTAGACACATCATAATTAAGCTGCTAAGAATCAAAGGCAAAGCAAAAAGTCGTGAAAGCAGCCAGACGGAAATGAAACGCTCCGTACAGGGGAGCGATTTGAGTGACGGCAGATTTCTAATCGGAAGCCAGAGACTAGAAAACAGCTTTTCTCGAGAAATGAGTTCGCTCCTTAGGCCCTTCACTATGAGCAGCCCTCGGGCCAGGGGTTCTTCACTGGGCTTGGGCCATAGGCAGAGGCGGCAGTGACAGCAGCAGCCCAGTCTCAGGGCCGTGATCCCAGCAGCAGCCCAGTTGGGGGGGCACAGCCTGCTGGCAAGTGCAGCTGTCTGGTCCCCCACTGTTGGGGAGAGGTCCGGACCCAGCAGGGCCCTGCCCCCCCACCAAGCCTGGTGGCCTTGGGGAAGCTGTGCTGTGGGCTGGTGGTCAGACACCGCGGGCAGGGTGCCGTGCCCAGCTCCCTGGCTGCCGGCCACCACCTGGCTTACGGTCTTCCTGCCAGGGCTGCAGACAGTCTGGACTGCCACCCACAGCGTCTGCAGGCAGCAGGTCAGGGCCCTGCCCCTGCCGCATGTCCAGGAGCACCTGCCCTCTTCAGCGAGAGCGCCAGGCGAGGCGGGCCGCAGGGCCTTCTCCCAGACAGCTCACACGCGCCCCACCTCCGGGCCACAGAGCTTCGTGCTGGGGGCACGCAGGGATGTAGCGTGGCCCTTGCTGCCGCTTCTGGAACTGTCTGGGCTAGAGAAGCAGCCCAACTGGGTCCAGGGAACCCCGTCCAGCTGGGGGGCCGGGCTTTGGTCCAAAGCCTGCGCCACGAGGCGGCCAAGTGCATCTCCCAAGTTCACTTCCCTGACAGAGCCCTGAGGGGAAGGTGCTGGGTTCCAGAGCGATGCCATCGCGTGCGTGGAAAGATGCTCCGTCATGGGGGACCGGGGAAAGGCAAGCCAAAACCACGGTGATGACCCCACATGCAAGTGAGGCCACACGGCACTGGTCTTTCTCTGACTCTACTCAGCACACACTCTCCGGGTCCGTCCGTGTCGTCGAGAAGGGCGAGATTGCATTCTTCATGGCCGAGTAACAGTCCGTCGTGTATACGTACTGTCTCTTCCTCATCCAGCCATCTACCGATGGGAACTTAGGTTGTGTTGTGAATAACGCTGCACTTAACTCGTAGGTACAGAGGACAAACTGATGGTCACCGGGTGGGAGCGGGGTCAGGAGGGGGGTGAAGAAGGGAAGCGATGAAGACGTGCAAATCGCCAGTTACGAAAACCCGAAAACCGCCACGGGGATGTAAAGTGCCCCATGGGAAACGCAGTCGGCAACTGTAATTACCTAGGGCGCCAAGTGGGTGCCGGACTCACCGGGGGCCACCTCGCGAGGGATGCACACGTCGGACCACTGCGTTGCACACCGGAAACGAATGCGATACTGTGTCAACCGCAACTGAAAAATTGATGAAACCTCAATATGCCACTTCACACCACTAAGAAGCCTCCAGTAAAGAAAAGTAAAATACAGAAAATAACCGTGGGTGGGGTGTGCAGACGTCCACGTGCGCTGCCGGGGGCGTGAACCGCCGTGGAGGGGCCTCGGAAAGCTAACCGCAAAACTGCCACGGGACCCGGCAGTTCACTCCCAGGCAGGGCCCACGGGAACCGAAAGTGGGTGCTGGGACAGAGCCGGGGCGCGAACATTCACGGCTGTGTTCACGGCCACCGAAGGGGGGGAGCGACCCCGTGTCCATCGCCGAGTGGACAAACGGAGCAGCACCCGGCCGCAAAGGGAGCGTGGACGAACCCCGGTGTGACGCCGAGTGAAGGCAGGCACGAGAGGCCACACGTCCGCCGCGTGACCGCGCTTCTGCGGAGGGCCAGGACGCGCACCCCCGAAGAGGCGGGAGGCAGACGGGGGGCTGGCGATGGCGACGGGTTCCGGAAACGTGTGGGACTGGAAGGCGCGGTGCTCGCACAGCATTTGAACGCACTGAATGCCGCTAAAGTGGGCTGAGTTGTACACTTTAAAAAGGTTAATTTCATGTTATGTGAATTTTATCTCGATTTTTGAAAAGATGTCTTAGGGCCCTTTGAAAGCACACATCACAGCAACAGCAGAGCCTGGCAGAGCCCGAGTTGCCAGGGGAGATGGCATGTCCCTGCTCACGCTCCCTCTGCAGGCCCGGCGGCGTCTGCACAGTGCCGAGGGCAGGCCTCTGTCACAGGTGTCACCTCTTCCCCGTCGTTGGGCCTGGTACAAGGGACAGGCGCACAGGGTCTGTGGCCTTCCCTGGGTCTCCTTGTCCCAGGAGAGTTCTGGCCCCACAGCCCCATCCCCCCTCGCAACCCCCCCAACTGCCCACTCGCGATGAAGCACCGGACCCCCAGCGCTGCCTGCGGCTGCCCCATCCCTGTCACCATCCGCCACTCCTGCAGTCCGTCCACGCTGGTGGAACTCTGTCCCGCACACAGCCC